ACACAACAGGCCGTAGGATGTCATCAATATAACGCTGTGCATTCAGGTTTCCACGAATTACGACAAGCCTCGTTTTGACGTCACCACATATGCCACCCCAAACCATTAACCCTCCACCTCCAAACGGCCGGACCTGTTGGATACAGTTAGGCGCCAAACGTTCACCAAATCGTCGGTATACAAGCTGCCGTCCATCGTTTTTGAAGATGAGGAATCTGCTCTCATCAGAGAACATAACACGTGCCCAGTCCTGCCGTTGCCAACGTCGAACTCGCCTGGCCCAGATCAGTCTGTTGTTCCGGTGTCGAGGCGTCAGGAGCGGTCCGCGGTAGGGATGACGTGGCCGGGTACCATACTGCCGTAGTCTCCTGTAGACGGTATGTCGACTGATCCTGTGTCCCAGTGCTGTAGCCGCCGTGGACGTCGCTGTTACGGTGCAGTTCCTCAGGTGTAATACCTGGATGTAACGATCTTCACGGGGCGTGGTTACTCGTGGTCTTCCACTCCTGGGCCTGTCTGACGTCTGACCTGTCTGACGTAACCGCTGCATCAACCTGGTGATAGTGATGCGTGCGCAGCCCAACCTTCTGGCGACGTCGACGTGTGTCGCTCCTGGTTGGACCTTTCCAACGGCTCTCTCTCTCTCGATGGCTGTCAAAAGTGGCGTATCTTGTGTTCTTTTTGTTGCTGTGATATCAACGTGTCTGATCAGCCGTTTTATACAGTTTTTATGCACGTGCAAAACATGCTAGAGAGGGAAATGTCACTTTCACGAAATTTACGTTTTTTCCCGGAAGTGATCACTTGTTCCCGGTATTTTTATCGACTATGCGGTGTTTGGGATGTGAAATACGAATTGGCATGTTTTCATATTAGACAATTCACTTAGTAAAAAACAATTTTGAAAATAAGTTGGTATCGTTTCTTTTGGACACTAGTTTAGGTCAGTTGTCTGAAGATAGCATAGTGTGAAACTCTGAGTAGCAACATGTTTTGTTACGGTTCTGTTTTCAAATTTTTAATGACGTCAGCCCCGCAAATATCTTATGATACAAGCAAATTTTGCGGGTGTGACGTCATAGAACACTTAGTTTTGGTGGAATCGCAAGAACCACAGACGTCTGATTAACAATTGGAATAGTGCAATTTGATGCTATCAGTGTCTCCGATAAGCATAATTCTTTTTAGAAATCCTCTTTACAATCCCTTTAATAATATACATGATAGAAGCAGGGTGTTTAACCACTGAAGTTAATTTATGATGTCTTGATAAAAAAGCGACTGTTCTGATTAGTCGACAAATTGGTATCAATGATATCTATGTCATTTTGTGAAGTTTGGCCCGAAGGAACTATTCGCCTGCTTTTTGGCAAAAAGAGACGTCTTCAGCGTCACGATCCATCGACGGTCCAATTTACACTATCTGGGCAATACATAGAGGAAATATATATTTCGATATAGATTATCAGGGGAACAAACTCTGTCTCGACTGAAAGCGTGCAAATGAAGGGATATACATTCTATCGATTCTATTCCGATTTAGAGTCCGCAAGTATCTAAATATCCACTATAAACTAAATAACAGACTTACCTAGAATTGTGCGCAGGACCTGTTCGCGTACATTCCGTAAAATCAACAGTTACTTCCCTTGTTTGACCATGTTCCATTAACACGCTGACTGGATCACGGTTACTTATCACACATGGCGGCAAATTGGTCGCCATCTTTCTTCTGAAAAACACAAGAATATTGAAATATTATAGTGAGTAATTCCTTTAGATAAACAACCTGAAGATAGCTACAGAACTGGTGAAAATCAGAATTTTATAGTCGATTAATAAGTGCCAACAAAATTGCACTATTCTAGTTACTGTGGTTACTATTATACTAGTTGCGTGAACTATTTCAAGTAACCTGAGCCCATTTTTTGTAAAACTCATATTTTCAAAATATTTGAACCAAAACGGCAGTGTTAATTGGCTCGCACGAACAAACAATCAGAGATGATCAGCGGATCTTGCCATACCGAGAGAAAGTTTTCATTCACAAAAAAGTAAAGTATCTAAATCTGAAACACTTTCTTGTAATCACCGGTAAGTAAAACTGTATCTCAAAGATTCGTGGAAACTAAGAGCTGTTGTTATCGGTAGGTACACAGATTTCTGATTTTAGAACCCGTATCAAACGTTGCTGATACGCTCACAAACACTAATCTAATTCCAGAATAAGAAACGCCTTCGTGCATGAAAGTCTACTAACGTTATCGACAAAAAATCACAATATTTAGAAATAAACCTGAAATATCTAATAACACATCATTTAAATCACCTTTTACTGGCGACTTCAGCAATCCAAACATCTATTTCAAGTATAAAAGCTATTAAACTGTCTTCTGACTAAGTTTAATAAGTTGGATATGTCCGGCCTTATTAAACCTCGTGTCTTTTGGTGTTGGGATTCTTGTTTCTGAGTTTTATAGGTTTGATATATCCTGCTTTATTAAGCACCAGTCTGAATCCTGAAAGTTTTCTGATGGTACTAACGACAGGTTCAAATCGTACATTACGTTATTATGATCTATCGAAGGTAGTCCATCAAACCCTGGATGTGGTGGAGTGATATTAATAATTACTTCTTTATTCAAATTGGCCAATCATCGTTTGTGTTACAAATACAGTATGGGATACATATCAAATATCCGACAACTTCCGAATCTTATGTCCTTATTTGATTTGACCAATCAGCGATTGGGTTACAAATAGACTATGAAATAACTTATAAATTACGATCTCGTAAGAATCCTCAATCTTATTCAATTTGACCATTGATATTCGTTATTACTACATCAATTCTATAATTATACGACACACAGAATCACTTCAGAGTATTATTTTGTTTCTATGAATTCAATTGGTCTAAAACTGATTCCTCAACCAATCACAATTAGTGATACGAATATGAGCCTCGCCGACCTGCTGTATAAAGAATTAGATGTGGTCTGACTTGTTCGTAAAGCGGTTGATGAATAAGATGAAATCATTTTGACTAATTTTCTAATTACCCTATACAGACTAATTAGTTATCATGTGATATAGTATATTAGTTTCCTTTTTTTCAAAGATTCTGTCTAATAAATTACTACTAACAGTCATTGGATCCCAATATTTTAAAGGAGCTCAGGGTCTCTACTTTTGAAATTTTACCATCTCATTCCAAATTCCTAAAATCATTACAGCCAAATCATCAGCAATCAGAATTGTCCAAATTTGCCCAAAGTACCAGCGGTGTTCATATCAACTGAAGGTATATCACTTCGATCGCGACCAATTTCCATTGTATATCAACTAATCGGATTCCTATTAACGACTCTTATTCTGACACTGTTTAACATATATAATCATGAATTTTGATCTGAGGTCTTAGGTTTAAAATGTAGGCCTATAATAACCTTTCCAAATTACTTTCTTCTGTTTAGTTTACTACATATTAACACCACAATAGTTGTAAACAATACTGTAACCCTGTACCAGCGCCTTATATTTATTGAACAGTAACTCTCTAGAGTTCTCGCTAAATCGGAGACATGTAGCCTTTAAGCAAAAATAAGAACTTGTGATGACAAAATGTATGGAAATTTTAAATGAAGATTTTCAAACACCAATCCCATATTAGAGTATACAGTAATAATAAACCAAGTACTAACCACCCGAACAGCAAAACAACATATTGGCAAAACATTGGTAGCAGCTAATAAACTAAGATGAATGGAGACGAGTCTCGTGTGAATGGTCTTTAATTATGACCGTTTTGCACTTCCATACACTGGCGCTAGCAGTACCAGCACCATCATGTGAGGATAGGACAAAAGGATATTACTCATTACCATTAAGACTGGTACTCTCAGAGTAACAGATTATAAATGTCTTAAAACAAGACAATTAACAAATACCCAGGACTATAGAGAACTATAAATACACCTTAGACACAGTCTATAGCAGCCGAGGGAACCGAATAAAAACACGTGATAAATAGAACCTGTCATTTGTCTTGTAAGAAATTGCGAAAGACCTATTTTTAATCTCCTTTGATCTAGCGATATATCACTTTATTGATATCAAGGGCGATAAATCATGCAAGTTAAGGAGAAGAGGAAGATGTACGGAATTAATCAGTCGATAAAAACATGCTCTTAAGAGACCCAATCTATCTATATCAATATATATATAAAGTACTGTGGAATTCCAATCTTATATAAACAGCTATGACGGGTGTGACGCCAGACAGAGTATACTTACTCTTCTAAACACCTGATATCACTTATCATTATGAAATATTTACTCACTTATAATTGATATACTTCCTCACGTGAAAAGTTCATTAGCTGCTACCAATATTTCGTCAAAATGTTGTTTAGATTCCGGGTTTGGTTTTGGGGTATTTGGGTTTTTTTTTAAATTAGACTACAAAATCGTTTCTTTTTGTTTTTGTCACCACAATATATAAATAAAAAAAATATCAGAAAAAAACTTAGGAATTGTAATCTAATGCTAGATAGTTTTGAATCAGATCGCCGCTTTTAAAAATGGGTTTTATTTTTTTCATTTAATGCAATGACCGTGCAGTTGACTTCCGGTTTCTACAGAGTCTTTATCTGACAAAAGTTAACTTCCGGTTTACAGTCGTATTTATTATTATGATCTGACAAACCTATAACCATGACAAAACAGGGTAAACAACACAACAGTTGGTTGGTAATTTCACTCCAGCCGCTTACAAGGGTGGTATACTAGAATAAGATCAATTCATGACTTTCTGATTCAGTGTTCTAAACTCAGTCGTCCACTATTCAAGGGATTTTCAAGAAAAGAACAGTATAGATTCAGGGGCGTTTCTCTTAGGCTGAGTTGGGGCCACATAAATGTCAAGGGGGGGGGGGGATAGAAAAAGGCATCTAAGATTTAAATCGTATACAATTTGAAACTGGTAATACGCCGGGGTAGCTAAATTTCTAGGTGCCTCTCCCCCTCCACTGTATCCCCCCCGTAGAAACGCCAGGTCCAAAGCTAGTCTCAATCTAAACCAGATCCCTAGTCAGTTGTCAAAGATAATGGCCTGGTTGAACATTATATAAAAGGAAGGAAACCAATGAGAGTTCTAACTTTGACAATTCAAGCTTTTAAAGTAAATGAACCTGCTATCAAATAAGAAATATCTTTCAGCAAGAAAGAAATGTTATTTTAGCTTACCATAACACAAGTTTACCAAGACGTTTACTCAGAGAGAGACGTAGATTAAATTACAAATCTTAAATAAAAATTATACTTAGATAATAATGGATATTTCTACTGATGAAATCACAAAGCTTCAGTGAATGTCATTCCAATAGTTAGTCTAGCGTTACATATCAAAATCCATTACTTACAAATTCACCATTTATAAAATTCCTCACTGTCTTGAGATACTAAATCTCTAATAAACATCTTTCTTCCAGTGTCTCAGATATATATTAAAAGTACAACTAAGACACAAACAATATCAAACCACCTTCGCACTGTCTGCCTATTTATCCGAAGCTATGAAAATTTAACCAAGTCTACTGCTGTTCTTGAATAATTCACCAATACGATCTCTGTTCATTTACTATACTTGGTATTTAACAACGCGGAGGTTCTATCTAAACGGTGCGAGTTTTCTCAGTATGGATTATACAAGGCAAGGTGACCGAATGTCATTTGTAATCCAGATCACGAACATAATAAAATAAAATCACAATAAAAATAGGCCTACGTTTTACTTCTGTTGATCCAACTTCCCATACGCGAAACTATTGTGTCAAATAGTTCCAAGACAGACACAACTGCAATAATCTGGTGTTAATGCTCATTTTATCACCATAAAAACACAAAGAGATGGTTGTACTACTCTAATAGTGAATATGTTTGATACTATACAGATCTATCATGTACCAAAACGCCTAGGGCCAGATTCAAGTGATGTCTGTTGGAGGTCACGAGGGGTTGAAAATAAAACCAGACACGCAACGTCCCCAGATGGGATTACGAACAATTACATACGATCATGTCTGTTTTTGAGCGTTAAGTCATAAAGAGTCGAATAAGGGACACAGAATTGTCAAGGGGGAGTTCACAGCATCGGAAGAACGCAATGACAAAAAAAATGAGGGGGAGGGGCAAAGTCGGATGAGCCTTATTTCAGGAGAATTCATGGCCAAATACATCATTCCATCTTCTTCACCCATAAAAAGTCCACTAACAGGGGTTCAGTCGGCAAAAAACGGCAGGACGAGGTTGTCATCTGCGGGCCATTATGTTTTATTTTTCTGATAATGGCTGTGAGGTACTTCTGAACACAGAAATCTGTCGTTATGCCAGGGTTACTATCTGAACTTTAGCTGGAATATATAAACCAAGTACTGAAGATCTGAACCGCAAAACGAAACCTAAATTCCAAACAACATCCTTGCGAAACATTGGTAGCAGCTAATGAATTCTTCAAATGAGGAAGTATATCAATTATAAGTGAGTAAGTATTTGAAAAGTGGTATCAGGTGTCTAGAAGAGTAAGTATATACTGCAAGGCGGCACAAACGATAGTTTCAAATACTATTGGTCGTTTTGATATAGAATCCGCTACAAACAATCAACTAATAGACTCCCAGGGCATGTTTGGTCCCCAGATAGTAAGATATTTTAGATTAACTGAT